TCCGTTGCCGGACACGAAAAAAAACAAAAAGGAAAAAAAAAAAAAACTGATGCCTTGAGCTGTTAAGCTTCAGCTGAGCCAAATAACTAGGCCTTTGCTGCTTTTATTACATGTGGCAGCCTCGGATCCAGTCTCTGGAACTTTCTGGGGCCGGAGGTCATTGCAAGGGGCTGTTAGCTCTTTAATCATTCTATTTTTTTTTTTTTTTGGCAGCTGGCCAGGAAGGGGATCCAAACCCTTGACCTTGGTGTTATAACACTGCACTCTAACCAACTGAGATATCTGGCCAGCCCTACTGATCATTCTCTTAATGCCAGCTATCTATATCCATGGGACAGAGGGATGGGTGGATGTCTGGAAGAGACCTTGGTTTTTGTCAGAGAGGGCTGGGTTAGTGTAAGGGGATGGAGAGGTGCTTGCTGGAGCTGCAGGGACACATTCAGGAAGTGGGGAACTCAGGCCTGTCTGACCCCTCTCTTCTGTTGGGTTTGTAGCTGGAAAGGTTGCAAAGGATCCTGGAGGGTGAAGAGGACCGAGAAGGAGGAAAGGAGCTGAAAGCTGGCCAGCTGGGCTTGCAGCTGCGTGTCCTCAGGTAGAACACCCTGGGCAAGGGCAAGGGCAGCCGGTAGCCTGGCCTCACACATTCTCAGCCAAGGAGGTGACAGCAGCCTTTGGGTCACTCACGCTCCTAAACTGACTACTGTCTTTGACTGGGATCATGTCTGCCTTTCAGGTTACCCATATATAGTTCAAGGAACTGGTAGAAGTTCCCTGGGTTCCTAAAACAGCTTAGCACCAGGGCTTGGAGGAGCAAAAAGAAGCTTCTGAGGCTCTGTCTCCGGTTGGAGGCTGGAGGAGATCACTTGCTCTTTGCAGTGGCCAGTCCACCACCTACAAGCCTCTCAGGCCAGCACACTGGGCATGCAAGAGTCCCTAGGCAGAGCCTGCTGGAGGGTGGTGAGAGACTTTTCTGCACCCTCCTGCAGCCCTGACAACGGAGATCTGTACTGGTGGGCCCGGGGCTCTGGGCTGGTGGTGGAGCCAGGCAGTCTCTTGTCATGAACCACAGAGTCACCGTGGCTGACATTGAGAAGGAGCTGACCGAGCTAAGGGAGAGCCAAGAGCAGGGTAAGGCCGCCATGGAGAATTCAGTCTCTGAAGCCTCCCTGTACCTGCAGGATCAGGTGAGGATTCCACACTCTTCAGCCCAGGGATCAAGGGCCCTTCGCAGAGCTGGCTACAGATGGTGGGGCTGCCCTTCCCTCCCACCACGCCTCAGAGACCAGGCCCCTCGGTTCTCCTCGGTGTGTGTGTATGGGGGGTGGGGGAGGGCGGCTGTATCTAGGGTTCTCCCCCTCCCCATCCAAAGCCAGCTCCAAGGGAAAGGCACCCCTTAGAGGTCTGTTCACCTCCCACGAAATCTTTTTTTCTGTTTTTTTATTATATAATTCACATATCATAAAATTCACCCTTTAAAAGTGAACAAGGTACATTCAAAGTTGTACAACCATCACCACGATCTAATTCTGAAACACTTCATCACTCCAGAAAGACACTCTGTACCTGTTAGCAATCACTCCGCATGCCTGTCCCCTAGCCCCTGACAACCACGACTCTACTTTCTGTCTCTACGGATTTGCCTACTCTGGACGTTTTATATAAATGGAATCATGTAATATGTGGCCTTTTGCATCTGGCTTCTTTCACTTAGCATAATGTTTTCAAGGTTCATGCATGTCATAGCATGGATCGGTGCTTCATTTATTTTTATGGCTGAGTAACACTCCATTTTGTGGCTATACCACAATTTGTGTATCCATTCTCCAGTTGAAGGACATTTGGGTTGTTTTCACCTTTTGGCTATAACGAATAATGCTGCTGTGAACATTCAGGTACAAGTTTTTATGTGGATATGTTTTTATGTCTTCTGGGTATATGCCTAGGAGTGGAATTGCTGGGTCACATGATAACTATGTTTAACCATTTGAGGAACCAAATGAAAACAGCCAGACTGTTTTTCAAGCAGCCACACATTTTACATTCTCACCAGCAACGTATGAGGGTTTCAATTTCTCCACGTCCTCACCCGCACATTAACTTCCTTTTTTTTTTTTTTAAATAGTAGCCATCCTAGTGGGTGTGTGGCAGTATCTCATTGTGGTTTTTTTCTTTTTTTTTTTTTTCCTTTTTGTCTTTTTTCGTGTCCGGCAACGGATCGCAACCCTCAGCGTCGCGCCCGTACCGGACCGGGACCGGCAACGGGATCGCAACCCTCGGTGCTGCACCCGCACCTCGCTCAGCCAGTGAGCGGGAACCGGTCTGTATGTGGGATCCGAACCCTCGGCAGGAGCGCCGCCGCACTCCCAAGCGGCGCACTGTAGCAGTGCGCCACCGGGCCAGCCCTCATTGTGGTTTTGACTAGCATTTCCCTAATGACTAATAATGCTGAGCCTCTTTCCATGTGCTTTTTGGCCATTTGTATCCCTTCTTTAGAGATGAGATATCCACATGTATATTCAAATCTTTTGTCCATTTTCTAAGTGGGTTATTTGTCCTTTTATTACTGAGTTGTAGGAGCTCTTTAAGTATTCTGGATACTAGACTCTTATCTGATATATGACTTGCAAATGTCTTCTCCCATTCTGCAGGTTGTCTTTTCACTGTTTTGATAGGGTCTACCTTTAAATCTTGAATGATGCGATCCTTGGTAATTTTCCCAGTAGCGAAATGTCTGAACCAGGGACAGCCCTCTGAGAGCTCACAGAAGGACCAGTTAGGAAAAGCTGCTGGGCCCAGGGGGATGGTGTCAGGAACCCTTTTGTGCTTGGAGCTACATTCCGGTCTCACTGTCCCATTGCTGGGAGAGTGGTCTGTGCCATCTCATGACTCCTAGCTGACAGTCCTGCATGGGGCTTGAGGAGCAACTGAGTCTGTGCAGTAGTCACCTGTCTGTCCAAAGCTCAGGTCTGAGCTTAGCAACCTCCAGGGGTCTCCTAGGACCTCGCCTAGGAGAGAATCCAGTCCCTGGTGGGCTGGCCCAGTCTCCTTTTGCAGCCCTTTTTAGAGGCACAACCTTCTACCCCCACCCCCCCACCTCTAGCCATCTTGGCTCCCTACCTTTCTCTGAACACATTCCTGTTTTCCCATGCTATTCTTTCTGGAATGTCCTCTGACCCTTATTTACCCAGATAGCCGCTTATTATTCTTCAAGGCTCCACTGAAATGCCCATTTTTCTGGGAAGCCTCTTCCTCTCTTCAAGAGAGAATTAGCCCATCCCTTTGCCTCCTGGGGGCCCTTTGATGTGCCAGCCTCATTGTAGGCTCTTCCGGTCACTAGCAACAAGGTCTCTGTGAGCTAAGGCAGAAGGGAGATTGGTTGAGGGTATGCGATAACAGAGAGTTGGGTAAAAGGGAACTTCTGGGCCACAGGGGGAAGTTTGGGGCAGACCCCTCCCGGTCTGTCTTTTCTGCTTCATCACCCACTTCCAAGAGAGGGAGCTTAGGTTGGCCTAGTCCCTCTTTTTCAGCCAGGCAATAAGTCACAGGTCTTTGGCCAATCTAGGGATTGGTGGCCCTCCCAGTGGGCAGCGAGGAAAGGACAAGAGGTGGAGGTAGGTAAGGAACAGAGGAGACACAGCCCTGCTGAGCCCACCCCCATCATGGCCACCAGCTGGAGTTGGCAAGGTGCAGACACTCACTGTCCCATCACAGGTGTCTCTAAGGGATGGTCGCATGAGAGGCAGTAGAAATGTGCCAACAACTGCCTGTTAGGAGTGGGATGCACATGGAGCTATCTACCCAGGACCCATCATTTGTGGTGACAGATTGAGACCATGGGATACAGAAGAGAGCAGGAGGGTAGGGCCGAGCAGCTCTTCCATAAGGGGTTTGCACCTGCCCAGGCTACGAGAGGCCCTGGAGTAGCATTAGCAGTTATCACGTGCTTTTTTTTAGTTATTTACATGCCAGGTGGGACAGAGCATGTGTAAACCCACCCCTCACAGCCCCAGTGCCAGAGCAGGGCCATGTGTCGTCAGGGTCCTCTGAGTGTTTGTGGGCTAAGGAACAGCCACACTTTAAGAGGTAGCTACCAATGTGTTCGCACACTGGACCGATGTCTGGAAACCTCCCTCTACAAGGGCTTTAGTCAGCACTGGTGCTGCAGTCCCTGAGAGCTCCACTTGCTGTTTAATGGATGGGGTGCCTGCTGTGCACCACGTGCTCTGTGAGGCGCTGAGGCTGTGGCCCCTGCCCATATGCGGCAGGGGACGGGCAGAAAGCACTAGTGAGTAGTGCTTGTGTGGGGGACACAACGTGGCTGTGACTTGCCTCACTGCCCTGCCCCTGGCATCTCTCCTGCATGCAGCTGGACAAGCTCAGGAAGATCATGGAGAGCATGCTGACCTCTTCGTCCACGCTGCTGTCCATGAGCATGGTCCCGCACAAGGCCCTGGTAACCTCAGCCCCTGGCCAGATCGACCCTGAAGCCACCTGTCCAGCCTGCAGCCTGGACCTGAGCCATCAGGTCAGCATGCTAGTGCAGCGCTATGAGCAGCTCCAGGACATGGTCAACAACCTGGCTGCCTCTCGGCCCTCCAAGAAAGCCAAGCTCCAGAGCCAGGTGGGTCACTGCCCACCTTCTTCATGGTGCTGCTGGACATGGCCCCACAGGGGAGAACCACAACCCTGGAGGCCTGCAGAGAGCGTGGCTGCCAGAGCTCCCCAGGGAGGGGGTGTTTGGGCTTCAGGGTCAGTTTTCCATGGTGGAGCCCTTTAGCCAGATCTCACCAAAGGTCCTTCCATGGGTGGCGTCACAGTGAGGGTAGCAGCAGAGCTAGCTCTAGGGACAGGAGACTATGGGGAAGCGCTGGCTCAATGGGGTGGGACAGCACAGGCTGGCCGAGGGCGAGCAGCACCATTCATGGGCCGTGGGGACACAAGCACAGCTGCAGGGGACATCGACTCCCCTTGTACAGCAGGCTTGCTGGTGGGCGCAGAGACAGCCACAAGTCCTTGAGTCCTGCTTCTTGGGCTCAGGAATTCAGATTGTGCCCAGGGAAGGTGGGGAGACTGTAGCCCACACCCCAGCTCTCAAGGGCCACGGGACAGCACATCATTCCTGAGCTTCAGTCACCTCCACTGATCACCCCAACTGGTGGGCCAAGGTCCCTTGAGGCTACTCCACAGGGCTGTAGGGGCTGATGTTCGTGTCCCATTGGGGTGGCCACACTACCAAAGGACAGAGAGCCTTCCCCAGTGGAAGTGGGAAACTCTGAAGGCAACTGAGGAAAGCCAGAATGGGGTCTGAAGTTTGACTGATGTTCTAAGGGCCAAGTTCTTGGCGGGGGGGGGGGGGGGGGG